CCAATCTTGGCGATCTTCCTCGAGCAGTGGATCCATTATACAGCATGAACCAGTGGACACCACTCTGTCAACTCAAACGCTCTGTTTCATGCCAGAGTTTGATATTTATAAATCAATCAGATTGATAGAATCGTCCCACGAAAATCAAACTGCTGGTTTCTGGCAAGGTGGGTATAGAATTAAATCAATCTTTTGTCTTCGTCTAATGTTAGACTATAGTTTTTGATATGAATCTTCACACACATTCAGGATATTTTGATTGGAGTTAAATCAAGTTGAATTTTTTAAATCATTGATACAAATCTGAACACCCAAAATTAATGATTTGTGATTCAATGAATCAGGTACATACCACACTAGTGGCTAGCAGATCAAATTGGCACGATATGGACTGATATCTAAGGAATACATTGGATATCAATCTTCACACTTCAACACAGTATTGGATACAGAGAGCCCTAACAATATGGCCTTAACTGGTCCACAATGCGTAAGCATTTCAACACCAATGTTTCTTCGAGGACAAATTTAATCTAGTGTTTAATAGCTCAGCATTGAGTGTTATCTGGCAGTACATTGGTAGGGTATAAAATGATATTACCTCCAATAAGACCGGGGCTTAGTGTGGTGCGGCCTTATCTGATGTGGAACTGTACCTAATAAGTTTGCACTTCGGTTTACATTATGTGTCGCTGTAATCCTGTCATCACCCTTATCTATAAATAACACACCGTTTATTTTTAATTTTTTTAATTGTATTTAGAGTCGTGCAAAAAAATCAACGTTAGTTAGTTTTAAAACAGGACAATTCTTTAACAAAAACTATGCAAGTAGGTTTATAACCTTTGAACAGAAGAATCTACAATAATGCAATGTATTTATTTTTACGAGATATTTGCTATTTAACTCATCACAGACCCGAGCCAAGTAGGTAACTCTTGAGACGTATCGTAGACATTTATGTCTCAAAATATCTCTAATTGACTCGATTCAAGATACAAAAAGGTTATAAAATAAAAAGCACTATCAAATTCATTATCCTGAAATAAACTGCTATCACATCCCTCATCAGAGTTTTTTCTGAACAGGTTACTTCTATAAGGTGTTATCTTGGGCTTCCGGAGTTTTTGAGAAGAATATCGGGAGGGGTGATTGAAGGATGAGGAGGGGTAGGAACAACAAAATGATGGAAAAGGGGGTAGAGGGTTAAAGATGTCGAGTAGTGGTAAGGACTATGAAAGGTTAATGAGAGAGAGGGGTAAGGGTTTTAAAAAGGTGTTGAGAAAGAGGGGTAGGGACAATAAATGGATGGTGAGAGAAATGGTAGGGACTACAAAAGGATGGGGTGGGGGAATAGGGGCTTGGTAAGAATGGCGTGTTGGAGTGACAGAAAAAAGATGGAGGAAAAGGGGGCAGCTAATGGTAAGGATTTAAAAATAGGTGGAAAGATGCGAAAGAAGAGGTTAGGATTAGGAAAAGGAGGAGGGAAAAAGAGAAGCAGGAAGAGGAGAAGGAGAAAGAGGAAGGAGGCAAAACAAAGCAGTGACAAAAATGTTATTTTCCGACGGCTCCGTCTGCTCTGTCTCGGCCATTTCAGTCAGGGCTTGTTACAGAAGCACCTTGGATAACATCTTATTAGCGGAACAGTATCAAACAATATAGGTGATAACACCATCATAACGCTGATACATCACCGTGCTATCTCCATACCTCCCAAATTCTGTCAGCCTCACTGTAGACCCAGCATTGCTACGTATTATACCCTATGATTTACTGTTTGATAAAATCCTGGTGTGTCAATCCTATTGAAATTAAAGATTTTATTTGAATACCAAAGAAGCGCCCTGCGATAACCAGCTGCAGTTGTGATTATTATCTAATAGTTATGTGGAATCATATAGCCATTTTATGAATATATATCACAGTCTGTGAGGCTATCAGGATTTCAGATAAATCCGTATAAATTCCTCACTGAGTGAAAGGTTTAGCAAGGAGATGATACGCGGCAGCGGCCTCCACAAGGAGAAGTGGGTGAAGACGTTTTGTCAGACCCTTTGGGTATATCCCTGTATCCTACCAAAGTAATATAACAAATAATACTACCTCACAACTGCATCACTTCAGAAACTGATAGCACCATTTATAAAAATATCAAAGCCATATTTTTATTAGCTGGTAAAGATTATAATCTATCTAATTTTATCATATAGACATACATGAAAAAAATAATTTTATGAAGAAATATATACATTTACATCCAATTATCTTAATAAAGACTTCGACAATATTTTGGCAAATGTTGTGGAAATCGGCAAAAATGTTTTATGTTTTGAAATGCAATTATCATATCTATCTCCTTAAAGTTTAATAACAACACTTGAAAGTGATTGACAAAATCATACGTAACTTATAAATGGCTAACAAGTTAAAATAGATATAGAGAACAAACTGTGTATATTGCTGATGTACAAAATACATCTATTTATACGAAAATGTGTTTGACAAGTTATGAAATGAGTTCCACAAGTTTTATCATCAGCAGATCTAAGTAAGGGGCCAGGCTAACAGGACGACTAAAACAAGTTGATGGATTTTTATGTTCATCCCAAAATATCGCACAAATCATGAGAAAAAAAGGAGCTGACACAGTAACAAATAGAAGGAATTTATATACACAAAGAAAATTGTTTGGTAACAAATAAACTACACATCTTGTAGACAAACAATAGATTTGAAATTTGAGTGGCTTAGCTGTTTGTTTAGGAGAGCCATGATAGAGCTTTTCTGATGCTTACAAGATAGGGGGGCTAGAGGGCACCGTTTTACCATTGTTCTCGAACAATTAAAGAGGTGCCCAAATTATGGCACAAAACTCAGCAACTGCAGGGGAACCGAGGGGGAACAAAGTGCCGACTTTGAAGCTGAATATTGTTTGATATTACCTGTTGTAGTTATAGGGAGTATATCAATAATATGAGGCTTAATATTGGTCTTTTATAATTTAATGTTAGAAAATATTTTAAACTGATTTTCTGTTATGTTTTTTCTTCAATTGCACTGTCTCTTTCATAAAGCTTATATTGTACTTAGTATTGTATCTAGATAATCTGAAAGAAACATGATCAGGACACAGCTATATACATTTGTTATCTGAATGAATCTATCAAACATTATTTATGCATCTCTATGAAATACCAAGACACTGACTCAACTTAAATTATCCAATATTTCATCTCAATGATTGGGGGTTAGAATAAAGTGATAAATATATTTGCACTCTGTGTACATATGAGAGTCAAGAGTTTGGCCGAGCTGTGTGCTGCCCTCTGTTTGTTCCTATTGTTTGCTGTCTCGACGGTCCCTCAGGTCGGAGCCTAGAGTAACCCCTATTGTCAGGACTGGGTGGGCGGATCGGCTCTCTATTACCGGTCAGTTCGGGACAAATCATCTTGTGATATATCGGGTCAAGGATCACTGGGGTGGTATATTTATACATAGATATATAAATTATTGTAGTGATGGATATGAGCAGGCCACCCTGTTCACACCCCATATCACTATCAAGTGACACACACAATTGACACTGGTCTTGTCTCTGCTGCTCGCTCCGTCAAATCAACCCTCAAGCATCTATCAACTCCAGCTATCATAGACCCCTACTTCATCCCCTAAAACTTAATTTGTTTGGGCTCGTAACAGCAAAAACGCCAATAGTTCATGAACATTGAAGAGCAGAGAAAACATATCAAATGGGGGGGTAATTGTTGACTGGGAGTGATATCTGTAGGAGTTAATCAGACTCGGAATCGCTCTGATACGTCTCACAACAATTATTGATTAATACTTTCCATGATTCGCAGCAATCAGACACAGTTCTTAGCCTAGCCCCTCGAAAATGGCCACATTTATTTCCTCGTATGGTAGCATTAGGTAGCGAGGAATGATAGGCGTTAGACAGGAGGAGGAAACTAGCCTACCTCCGGGCATTACATACGCTCTCCCATATAATTACTTAAATACCAAATTATTTCCTTAATAAGCTGTCTTGTATAAGGTTCTCATGCAATCTAACAGATGTGTTCAACAATAGAACTTTAAATTTCTTAAATACTATTATTCATTTGGGAGTTAAATAGCAGACATGCTTGATTTAATGCAAAAGGAAACGAACAAAATTTGTTTCCATTTCCACAGCAAATACCGACTTTAATACCTGATTATTAGGGACAATCGAAGATAATTAATACTTATCATCTTATTGAGAAATTTTAAATTTTGTTTGCCATAAAAACTTAAAAAAAAACAAAAAACTGAAATTAAATAAGTCCTTGGAAGATATAAAATTGGCAAAAACACCTCACCGATTCCCTGAGAAATAATATGATCCTCATTTATTAACTTATCTGGTTGACTTATCACAAGGACCAACGAAGAAATCATGTCATAACAATCTCAAATTAAAATTTAATATTTAAACATATTTTATTGACAAAATTTGTATTGGATAACATTTCTATTCATGTATATGAACAAATCACATTGAATGTCAAACATAATTTGTGTTATTAACAAAATTGATTCAAATGTAGACATTACCATACAACTGTTTATGACTGATCAAAGCTACACAGTGAAATGAAATGTCATTTTGTGAGTGAGGACTTGAGAATGTAGGGTAATTTAACAAAATTTAAGTAGTAACATGAAAATAAAAATTCTAATATTACTGATAATATCCCTGAATCAATGTGAATAAATAAACAATATAATTTGATTGTTTGCAATATTTCGCCAGACAAGATGCCAGTCATGTGAAAATTTATTCATATGAATTATTATATTCATACATAATTAAAATACGAAAATATGGCTGATGAGATTTCCTCTGAAATTTTCTAATCAGCATTCCTCTATGCCTAACCACTCAGGTATCCATATGTTTGAACCATCTTTAAAGTGTTTTAATGTTTTAAGGATAAGTCATAAGACTAAAAACTTACCCCTTTTTTGCATAAACTGAAACAGGTCATCTAGAAACTCTTTCCTCTTCGGATCTTCACTTAATTCATAAAGCTGAAAAATAAAGGGAAAAACTTTTATCAAATTTTGAATGTGTATGAATACATGATTTTCAAAAAAAAAACTCACCACTAATATTCTATTAAAGCATACAATTTTAGTGCAACACTATTACCAGGATTTACAGGTTTAAGAGTATAAAAAAAGGTGTACAGCCTGACATCAACAGAAGCAGAATGTTTGAGAATATATAAATCAGTGCTCCAGTGAAATTTAAAGTGTGGAAGGTCAGTTTTGTTGTGGCACCCCATTTCACATCGTAAAAATTATCTTTTAAAACTAATGAACATGCTCTGGAAGTGCATCCTTTTTTAACAAGTAGCATAATAAATTGAATATTGCTTTTATTAATTTAAGATAAAATCTACAGTTGTCCATGCACCAAATTATCAGTAGATGTTCTCAATCCCTTTTCTTTTCTTAATTTAAAATCATCAGTTTTTCCCCATCTCCTCCTTGTAAAATTGTGTACAATGTATCTAAAAAACTAGTTGTTGTACATTGTTGTACACTGTAGACCATATTAAACTCAGCACTTGTTAGGTAATCTACATAGATTAGGAACATTGTTGTAAAATACAGATTATAATTATCACAAGCTAAATCTCTGCTGTTAAATTTGAACTGAAATTTTAATTTTAGATAGAATAAGATAGATATCAAAATTACTGGTTTTACAACTGATCCAAGTACTGTTCTCATATCAGCATATCTTGAAATCTATATACAGTGATCATGGCAATTTTGCAAAATATATTTTCATCTTTATCCAATTTAATCTTCAGACCTCCTGCTTATTTACTAAACGACCATTAGAACTAAGAATGCTTATTTTGTGTTAGGTATAAGAAGTAGGCCTTCTATAATACTTTGAGTTTGTTTAGCCTTCAAATTACTGTTGAAATTGCTAACAAATGTGCTAATAAAGATGAACTGAATTTAATTATTATATAAAAATCTAGTTTAAATGTTCAGTGTTCTTGGTTCTCAAATGATCAATAAATATATCTGATCTAAAGAATTCATAAAGTACACTCTTTATGTTGATGTAGTATGCAATAAAACTATTTGATAATTGTCTATGATAAAACTCTGGTGTTTGTGATCAATATACAAATTTTCATTCTTTTCCACTGATAACTATATCAGAATACAATTTCAACTACTAACTTTCTGAAATGCAACACCCAGAGCAAACATGAATGGCTACAAACATAAATTCCAATGAATTTCTTTCATCTATAAATACATGATATTAAATTGAGCATAATTTAGGGATTGAATGTTCCATTTCTGATGAATGATACTTCAGTTTATATAGTCAGAACCAATTATTCCACAATTCAAAATTAAAATGGCACTATTGAAATTTTTAAATTACAATACCATAAGGTCATACTATCAATCTTGTTTTGAAAGGAGAATTTGTAACTATGAATTAAACAACCCAATCGCTTTAATTTCTCAAGAAAAACCTTCACAGTCAGATATAAAAAATATTAAATAAAATTCTCAAGCCTAAGTAATCGGCTACAAGATAGATAGGTATCAGAGTATTTATCACCTGGTAAAGCTTTCTTCTGATCTGACACCGGAGGTCCCCTATCTGACACCGCTATCAACCTTAACCCTTATCAAACAGTATCAAATTATCATCAAACTATCGGTCAATTTAAGAATCCCTGGGCTGAGGAAAATTACTAGGGAAGTGAAGAACCATCCTTCACTGACAAAAGTTTCTGTATGGGGGTCTGAAGGCTTTCATTTAATGTAACCTATTAGTTGGGGAAAGCATTAAGATAATCTGCAATAGGTTGGACGAAAATAAGGGAAGATTATTTTTAAAATAATTTAAATGAGGTGACCTATTTTTGTTTATATATTGCATTTGGTTTCCTTTGAAACAATTACCTGTCAATATTGTGTGAAACATTACTCATAATTTATATGGTGTTTATATTGTATGGAAAAAACACGTATTTAAAAAGTTTTCACGATAAAAGATATTTCCCTCTGATAATCAGATATTTCCCTCTGATAATCAGTTTTAAAATTGTACTTTCATTTTCCACGTCAAAACTACGTGTTTTGTTAGCGCACCACGGTCACGTGACGACAGGTATCGATGTGGTATTGCCACCTCTTGATCTCCTACCTCAGACGTAAACAAAGCCGACAAGGTTTGAAATCAGATCCAACACACCTCCTTGTTCCGGAGTCCAACACTCCAACCCAAACAAACACGAAATCTGACAGATTCCGCTCACGTGCTCCCGCAAAGCATGACGAAGCGCGTGAAAAAATAAGTCAACTTTTTGTGACTTCACACAAAAGATTTCCGACTTAAAATTCGTCTGCTTAGCTGGTATACATGTGTTCTTGATACAGTTGACAATACCTTGATTATATAACAGATTTAAATTTGATTTGATTCAAAATAAATGTAAACACGACACATTTTTCTCATTTATCTTAGAGCTTGTTTAATCAGCTCATTTAATCCCTCAGTGAGAGTTTGAAGGTGTTTTAAAATTATGCGGTTGAGCTATTTTTGGGGTTGCATCCTATGCACAGAAGAAAGTTAAATTTAATGGTTCCTTTTTTCATTAGTTCGAGAGCTTTGAATTAAAATGCAACCAAATTGGCCAAAGATGAGAGACGCCAGAACAGCCATGCGTGAAGTTGTGAACGACGCAGACTTTGGAATCGATGGGGTGGAAATAGCTAGTTAAACGTTGTACATTTTATATCAAACCTCAGCCTTATTTATAAATAAGTATCGTTAATTTGGGTCTATTTCTTTTGATAATAGTATCGTCATAAATTCGTGAAGAAAAACATAAGTGGGATTACGGTAGCCAAGTAGTCGGACGCTCTCGACTTGATAAATCAGAAGCGGTTTAATTAGACAATTTCATGCCTCCTCTAATGGCGGTGGGGTCTTGTGTCCCCCAGGGCAAATATACACCGCGGGCACGCGCGTACGTCTGCCGGTACAACACCCCGACACATTTCCCTCTCAAGGCTCACATCCCCTTTTTCAGCAATAATTTGAAAATAGAAGTAGCTTAAATTGACGTCGTTAAAGTAATGTTAATACATACGTTTTCTATGTTGATATTATTATAATCAAATAATGATTTATTGATGAAGAAATATCCTAAAACTAAAAAAAAAAATCTGTCATTTTCAAAACTAGGCGAGTATGAATATGATTTTGTATAATAATTATTGGTGTTTATATGTTTCAGTCTTTGTGTTATCATATATTTATAGAAATTTCCCTGCATGCAAACTAATAAATACATTCAATTTTGAATTAAAAACGTAATGTATTTATACATTTCCATAGTTCTTACCGGGTAATTAATAACGAACTAAAGTGATCGTTGAAAAGAAATAATTGTGTTCAAGTATAGTTATGTTTGACAAATCTATAATTTAAAATTGTTACTTGTATTAGAGTCAATAGAAACACAAAGGAATAAATTATTGGGGCAAATTTCCTGTAATACGGATGTTTAATTCGCCGCCCCCAGCCACTGTACCCGACGACAGGTCTGGTATGGCACTATGGGGCTTTAATTTGGCCACCTTCCCGTTAAAGTGGGAAATGGGCCATATGGTAAGATCCTCGGTCCCACCGGCAAATCACTATTGTCCTTTCATTTATAACTATTACACGGAACAAAATATTATTTAATGCATAATTAATAGATCGAATTAGACTATAGATCAAGTCAGGGTATATTGATCTGTTATTTCGATATTTTGATAGGGGATTGTACACTGGCTTGGACGCTATATAGTCCCATACAAACAGGATCCAACGTTTATAGTCCAACCAATCTCATGAAAATTGTATTATATATATTTCTATTACAAAAATACCATAAAATGCCTGAATCCGTAGTGACCAATATAAAGTGTAGTTATGGCTTTTAATCATTTATATGGTTCTACGATTTTGTTTACAATTAGTTATCACGGAATCCAAATTGAGCAAGGTTAATACAGGGAAAGGAAGTCTCTTTATATCGTGAAATATTAATTAATATGGGCATATAAACAGAGGGGATTGCATGCCAACGCCGGCCACAGGGCGGGTAAAACCCAAAACAATTAAATGCATCATGATTCCAGTGCTGGCCCTATCTACTAGGCCGCCGGATATAATATCCATTTCTAGATCCTACAGACATGTCAATATATCCTGTATCGAATATAAAATTATCTAATGTCGAAATGACATAGCAATATTTATCTTATATGTGAAATTGTCTTCTCCGAGAAAAAGTATTTACAAAAAAACATGTTTGAATTCCCCGAGGAAAAACTCAATTTCCGATTCTATTGTATTTGGTGATATATGTGTCAGCGGTGTAAGTATAATACAGGCTAGAGTCTGAACAGTGTATACCTACGTAGTTTTTATTCTGTAGCCATTAAGGATTTAAAATTATGGTTTTTACAGCGTTGTCGATAACGTCATAAAATTAAAACGTGCCAGTCGAGGCAGCAAAATAAATACTTTAAGTTTGTTTTTTCAAGAGGACAAAACATTTTCAAAGATCTAAAGAAAATTTGCAACTGGATTTGAAATAAAAAGAATAATGTTTCTCAATCAAGTTCATAGTTTAATTATATCAAACACGTTCGAATACATTGTTTCTTAATCATTTAAATTAATGGGAATTTGTTTTGTACAACGACGTATGAAATGAATTCATAATAATCGGTTGTTTTGATTAATAAACAATAAACTGTTTTTCCATTGATTCATACATGTCATAGATTGATGAAGATGCCGATGGTAGAGTTATTAATTTAAAATACGGTCAGGTATCTCTCAGATAGTACAATAGTACAATTCAAACGATTTATTTTGAAATAAACTAATGTTCGTTATATAATCGACGTTTCTAATTATTATCATTGAAAAATTAAATTGAACAGCAAAACAAAATTTATCAAATGATAATATTTGCCAAAAGGAATGAAACATATTTTGAGGTTTTACTATATATGAATTAGATATATGTAGCTGCTATCATTTCTTTTCTTTAATGTACAGTGTAATATTTACTTATTTTTATAAGAAATATAAATCTGTATAAAATATTAAAATGTGCTGCATTGTAATGGCGTTGAAGAGAATTGTTAAGGCATTGTAATGGCGTTGAAGAAAATTATTTAGGTATTTTAACTTAAAGCCTATTATCAAAATATTTCATTAAGATAATATTTTAATGTTATAATTGTAGTTACACATCATAAGATACTAAATAATCTGTATTTGCCGATTTTAACAAGATACGCATTTTTATGCAGTTTGATAAAACATTAAAAGTCCAATCTATAATATTCAAAATTAATAAATTCTCGATTTCGAAATTAAGAATCTTAATTTTATTTAATGATTTACCTGTTTGAACTGCTCCTCGAAAGTCCAGTGATGAGTTGGCCCGTCCCCCGTGGGGCTGATGGAGGTCGGACTCTGGGGGGAGTGGGAGTTCCTATGGTAACGTTCCGCCAGGAAAGCACTGTGGGAAAGAATGTCCAGACGGGGGGACTCGGACAGAGACAGCCCCTCCCTATGGGCACGGAATTCCTCGGAGTGAGGGAGATGTTTGTTCAATCTAAGGTCCTGGCCCCTTTCCTGTTCCAACTGTTGAATCCTCTCCGCGTGCATCCTTAGTTCCTTGGCCCTTAATTCCTCGTGTCTCCTCACAATAGCCTCCTCGTGGGCTCTTTTTAATTCCCTTTCTATTTCTTCTCTTTCCTCCCTTTCTTGCCTTTTTAACTTCTCGTAAAGTTCCCTATCGGCGGGGTCCATTTTTTCGGAATGACCTCCTCCCTCCCCGTTTTCACTGAGGTTGTCCGATTCCATCTCGGAAATATTTAATTCCTCGTTCGGCGATGACTGAAACAACATGATAATTATCGAATTGTTAAGCGTGCACCTCTTAGCTCGGGTTTCATGTATTTTGTAAGTAATAAAGTATGCTGAGTAAAGACACACGTAGTTAATTAATGCTAACACGTTGCCCCTATTTGTCGGGAGGTAAACAAAGTCCGGTAATGTTGGCACATGAAAGAACACTGCCAGATTATTTTGACAACAATTTTCTGATTTTCACAATAGAATAAACACAGAGCTACACGATAAGTGTAGATAAACAAAGAAATAGATAATAGAACCTCAAATCAGCTTACAGTAACAAATAGCATTGTTCTATTTTTTATATAAAAAGCAAAAGATGAAATAGCTAGAACATAAAAATAAAAGGAAGAAGAAATTGTAAAGCAAACAAAATAAATCCCTAAGTGTGAAAAGTACTTATATTTGTTTGTGTTACCAATTGCTATTACACCAATTGGATTTTCAACCGTTTCTTTAACAATAAGATATTTAATAAGAAAAAAAATTCCAACGTATAAAATTGATAAATAGGAATAACAGAAGTATCTTTTAGTATTAAATAAATATATGAAAAAATAGTGATAATAAAATAAAGAAATAAAAAAATGTAATATACTAAATAGTATACTTTCTAAATTAAACGCACACCGCCTGTGTCAATAGTGTTACACAGATCAGCATGTACGTACCCTAAAGTTGTATAAAAGTAGCAGTGTAGTGTATATATATATAGAGAGAGAGTGTAATAATATAGTGTACTCACCACACTGCCATCCACACTGTTTTCTCCGTTCGACATTTCTTAGCCGTGCAAAATTACCAGAGAGTAGGCAAGTCTTTATTCACCAAAATTGATCTAACCAACTTAAGATTCGTACACTTTATCAATGAATATAATCCTATCCCCGTCATCCGAACAAATTAATTTATGCGCCGGTAGCACGTGATTGGGGAAAAAGAAACACAGAACCTTTTAACCTATGACCTTTCAACTTTTAGTTACAGATGAATAAACATACTCTCTAACCTTATGAATATTCATTATATTATCCAAAATAAGTATTATTCAAACATTTGACAGAAATTTGTTATGAAAACAGTAAAATATATCTCTTATATTACCAATTTGAAGAATTATGACAACAAGCGATCGATAAATCTTGTAAGAATGAATTTGTGGCTTAGAGACTATTTACAAAATGGCGACTTCCTACAAGAAAACCGTGATAAAATCTACACCACGTATCGGCGAAAATGTCACCTCTGACACGAATTACTGGAAAAATTTGGAGGTGTGTTAAATAGATATGTTTATTTTTCACCCGTCCGATATCATCGTTGACATCATATCTCTCCCAACTCCCAAAAACCGGTTTGTTTATATGGCCATATATACGAAGAAAACACGTGTTATTTCTTCACATTCGTAATACACATGTAAACAAACGAATTGTTTCGTTCATTTCACTACCCTTTGGTGTTGGTAACAACTGAATTTCTCATTTAGTCTCGAGGTCACATGTATCTTTTACACTTATGATTTTGAAGAGCACTTCTCTCTTGATTTTGTCCACCATTTCGGATAGTTTGTCTCGCACAGTGCCATATTGTCAACACGCATAGATGCACGAGTATAACACAGAAGCCACATACCTATTCCATGATATCAGTCATGTTATTGTCCAGATATGTAAGCCATATAGAGAGCCTGCACCCACACTTGTTGATAACCGATGTTGTGTCATGTTGTCAACTGCAGTGTCTTTTGGCTGCTCGTCGGTTTTTAAGATAATTTGGGGAATGGACTAATTAAATACAAACAGTAGAGAATAATTAAGATCAAGCCTGTATGATTGGGTCTATGTGATTACCTCCCCAATTTTAAATGGACAGAACAAGCTTCATTTCACACTGTCAGCAACAATCTAACAGCTCCACACGAAATGACCTGCATCTTTCAATGTGATGAATTGATACCAGTTACAGGGATTACGTGGCCATCAATTAATGTATTTAATGTTACAGCTATTTATTCACACAGGTGCTTGCATTACTTTAAAAAATGCAGTTGAACAATCATATTTATATATATAACATTGTCATTATTTTAGAAATTGAGTTTGACAGCACCATCAGCATGTATGTATCAGGGGTATCCACTTACTGATGTCCGAGGCTAGTAGATTCAATTTCAATACTATTGAAAATTTTCAAAATCCACAGATGACTTAATCCCATGTAATAGATTAATGCTAATATTGAAAAACAAAAAATCACTGAAACAGAGTGAAACAGACCAAAACCCACATTAGACTTCTATATTTCAAAATATTTCAAGTCTTATTTCTTTTGAAATAAGTAAAATTTTCTGCTTATTTTCAATCATTGATTCATTGCATACAAATGACTGCACTTCACTTATAAATAATAAACTATGAAATTTTACGCTATACTTTTGTATTTTTAAAAACGTTTTTAGATCTTGCCAGGTATATATTGCTTAATTAATGATAAAGATTGGCAAGTAATTTGTTTTCGTTTGAAGTATGATGAATGGATATCTCAAAATTGACACTTGATGCAACGTACACAGTTGCTTATATAAAGATGCCATTCTATACTTCTTCAGTGATGTTAGTACATGTACCAGCAATTCAAATGCTTATAGAATAAACAGCAGTTGTTGTATTATCCTCCATTCTTCTTAATGTATAACTTTCTATAACCCCCTTTCCTACATCATATAGAGAAAAAAACAGTGACTCGCACAAAAATCATAATAAGAGGGACTAGGCCTGGAATAGCATTGAGACAGATCAGGAAATGTATTCAAGGGAGACAATTCTTGTAATGTGGAGCTCTTATAAATATAGCCAACATTGATTGGTCATTAAATAATTCAAGTGTTATTGTTTATTATCAGGTACCTGTGACCAAAAAGGAATATGGAGCCATTACTCACATAGAGTTCAGTCCTTCTGAACCACACAGCTTTGCCGTGACCAATTCAACCCGAGTAAGTAACACGTTAACATGCATTTCAGGATTTCCATCCCCCATTTTATGCACGGATGATTCTAGGAGGGGATTCTAGGGGCATTTGACTCTTTTTTTTTTTTATTACAAATGGGTTTGTCATTATTGTATGAATGGCCGAAAAAATGTTCTCTGATAATTAAAAAAAAAATTACCAAAAGTTTCCAATCTTGGTGGTTGTACCTTACTACATATACAATGTATTATAACATAAAATGAGTTTTCATTGCACAACTATTGCATGATTTATATTTCCAAAAGGTTGTTTTGCCTCATCATAATAGATAGTTTGAAGTTTTCAGCATGTAATTGAACTCTCCACAAAGGAGTTTTTGAGGTGTTTTTTTTTAAAAAACAAGTTGCATATCATATAATTATGTTTGTCGACTAGTTCCTTACAGTGCATAGATTTGAATGAAACCTTGTACAATTTATCAGTATGCGATAGGACTGCAATGATGCGTGAATATTACGATACAATATAGATATCACGATACTGTAGTCACAATACGATACATATCACAATGCATACAGTAACAGTAAAGAGCAAAGAGAAATTTTTAATGGTAATATTACAACTGGAAATAGACTTGGTCCAAAATGGACATGACTTTAAAGTTTTACACAATTCACGTCTTTCTACATGCATGCCGAGCTGGAGCTGTCACTTACCATGTTGCAACGGATATGAGTGGACTTAATTCAGAAACGACAAAACCTGGAAAATATTGTAGGTGTATCATAACCTCCCAAAAATATTGTGTATCGTACCGTATTCAAAATATTGAGATATATCGTCGCACAGTATAGTATGCAAGGAACTTGCTGACAAACTATTAACTTATTTTTCGTTTTGATGAATTTTTACAGAATTGTGCTCCTTTTTGTATGAAAAAGGTTTTGTACTACCTCCCCTAAATACTGCATAGCTTTTATATATACATAGAGAGTGATGTCTGGGCATTGGATCAGGACTACGGTTCCCTATCACTTTATCAAACTATGTTAAACACGATACATTGCCAGATATATGTATACATGAATTTATTATCATGTTTACCAGGCATTCTCACAAACCAGCAAAAAGATTAATTTTCAGGTATCATGTATCACATAAATTCATATCACCATCATTTTTTTTGACCTCACAAGTTTTCTTCGCTTTTGGAAATGTCAAAAACACATGGACTGCCTTGTGTTTACATGCATATATTATATATCAACAGATGAACTGGAAATGTAAAATATTTCGAGCTCTAGAATTGAAAACCAAACATCTGATAAAGTCTGGCTCATCTTCTTCAGCTTTTTTCATTTCTAGGTCAAAATCATAATCTGGTCATCCGACATAAAAAGTCATTTTATGTATACTGAAATTCATTTCACAATACAGTAAAACATGTCTATAATGAACGGCAGTGGACTTAAAAAATAGAAAGCATATCATTGTTTATGTCCCAATGTAAATGGAGTCCTTTCCTGCCTAACCTGCATAACTTCCTCTAAATTCACTTGATCTCACCTTTTTGCTGAATGTGATTTCTGATCTGCCTGAGAATTCACTGCTACAGGGGGATAGTTCGTGTTTTATTTTGCTCCTTTCTGTCCAGTTTTCTGTTTGATAGTTTGATAGCACTGGTTGGTTTTGCCTTCAGGTTATCCATATTTCTTTACTGTGTTCTTTTGTAGATATACATTGGATGATCTCTCATTTGTTTTTCAGCAGTTTATGAAGTAAACTTTTCAAAAGGCATAGCTTATGTTGGTGAGTTTGTTAGTTTTATGGGTGAATTCACTTTTATAGTTTTATCAGTGGATTCATAAGTATATGAAGCTATTGGTTAAACCCTGTGTCTGATTGGGCACATCCTAACCACCCAAATCAGCCTATGAGCTTGGCATCCCAAAATGCTGGTATTTGCAGGCAGGATTCGTACAGTGTACATACCAGTGTTTACAACTAGAAGGAGTGTTGGGTCAGCTTAGCTCTTTTGGTTTCCAGTCCTAGTAAATCCTGGAGTCATTCACAATACATTTGACCTTCAGCCTGTCATACAGGGTTTGGTTTTGACCCCTATATGTCCCATCAGTAGAATCTGCAAGCTTGATATCTCCCTTGCAGCAGTTATAATATACTATATTTTATTGGCCCATCCCAACCCCCACACCTCAACCAAACACAAACAAGCCTTCTAGTTGTGTGAAGGTCTCATTGACCAGTTCTAGAAGGTATCACTGGGGCTCTTGTTCTTCTGCATCTCATGTAGACCATGCCATTACCATTACCAGAAATAATCCAGGGGGCTGCAGTCAGGGGGAGGTTGCAGTCATGTCATATTTCCCAGGGCAAAAGCAGGTAAACAATTTGCCTGTCATGTTGGCTTCCTTGGTCTTGCCTTTGTGTCCACTGACAGTTCAAAACAGATTGTTTTGATGCATCACATCCCATGAACTGTGATCATGAGGGATATCAGATATGGCAGAGCATCATATGCTCAATCTATCTCCTGAGTTATCTGAAGTCTTCAATTTCTATTTGGAAGCTTCTCATGTTTGTCCTCTGATGATGAGTCCTGGATGGATGTGCAGACTAATGCTATCCTTCTCAAGTTTGTATTCTGACAATGAGTCCTGGATCGATGTGCAGACTGATGCTATCCTCCTCATGTTTGTCTTCTGACAATGAGTTCTGGATGGAGGTGCAGACTCATGCTACCCTTCTCACGTTTGTCCCCTGATGATGAGTCCTGGAAGGATGTGCAGACTGATGCTACCCTTCTCATGTTTTTCTTCTGACAATGAGTCCTGGATGGATGTGCAGACTGATGCACAATCAGTCCTGGATGGAGGTGCAGACTGATGCTACCCTTCTCTCGTTTGTCCTCTGATGATGAGTCCTGGAAGGATGTGCAGACTGATGCTACCCTTCTCACGTTTGTCCTCTGATGATAAGGCCTGGAAGGATGTGCAGACTGATGCTACCCTTCTCACGTTTGTCCTCTGATGATCAGGCCTGGATGGATGTGCAGACTGATGCTACCCTTCTCAAGTTTGTTCTCTGGTGATGAGTCCTGGATGGATGTGCAGACTAATGCTATCCTTCTCAAGTTTGTATTCTGACAATGAGTCCTGGATCGATGTGCAGACTGATGCTATCCTCCTCATGTTTGTCTTCTGACAATGAGTTCTGGATGGAGGTGCAGACTCATGCTACCCTTCTCACGTTTGTCCCCTGATGATGAGTCCTGGAAGGATGTGCAGACTGATGCTTCCCTTCTCATGTTTGTCTTCCGACGATGAGTCCTGGAAGGATGTGCAGACTGATGCTACCCTTCTCACGTTTGTCCTCTGATGATCAGGCCTGGATGGATGTGCAGACTGATGCTACCCTTCTCACGTTTGTCCTCTGATGATCAGGCCTGGATGGATGTGCAGACTGATGCTACCCTTCTCTTGTTTGTCCTATGACAATGAGTCCTGGATGGAGGTGCAGACTGATGCTTCCCTTCTCATGTTTGTCTTCCGACGATGAGTCCTGGAAGGATGTGCAGACTGATGCTTCCCTTCTCATGTTTGTCTTCTGACAATGAGTCCTGAATGGATGTGCAGACTGATGCTACCCTTCTCATGTTTTTCTTCTGACAATGAGTCCTGGATGGATGTGCAGACTGACGCTACCCTTCTCATGTTTGTCTTCTGACAATGAGTCCTGAATGGATGTGCAGACTGATGCTACCCTTCTCACGTTTGTCCTCTGATGATCAGGCCTGGATGGATGTGCAGACTGATGCTACCCTTCTCTTGTTTGTCCTATGACAATGAGTCCTGGATGGAGGTGCAGACTGATGCTTCCCTTCTCATGTTTGTCTTCTGACAATGAGTCCTGAATGGATGTGCAGACTGATGCTACCCTTCTCACGTTTGTCCTCTGATGATCAGGCCTGGATGGATGTGCAGACTGATGCTACCCTTCTCATGTTTGTTTTCTGACAATGAGTCCTGGATGGATGTGCAGACTGATGCTATCCTCCTCATGTTTGTCTTCTGACAATGAGTTCTGGATGGAGGTGCAGACTGATGCTACCCTTCTCACGTTTGTCCTCTGATGATGAGTCTTGGATGGATGTGCAGGCTGATGCTCCCCTTCTCTTGTTTGTCTTCTGACGATGAGTCCTGGATGGAGGGGCAGACTGATGCTACCCTTCTCATGTTTGTCCTCTGATGATGAGTCCTGGATGGATGTGCAGGCTGATGCTACCCTTCTCTTGTTTGTCTTCTGACAATGAGTCCTGGATGGAGGTGCAGACTGATGCGCCCCTTCTCTTGTTTGTCCTCTGAGAATGAGTCCTGGATGGATTTGCAGACTGATGCTATCCTCCTCATGTTTGTCTTCCGACGATGAGTCCCGGATGGAGGTGCAGACTGATGCTGCCCTTCTCATGTTTGTCCTCCGATGATGAGTCCTGGAAGGATGTGCAGACTGATGGTACCCTTCTCTTGTTTGGCTTCTGACTAGGAGACCTGGATGGAGGTTCAGACTGATGCTACCTTTCTCATGTTTTTCTTCTGACAATGAGTCCTTGATGGAGGTGCAGACTGATGCTACCCTTCTCATGTTTGTCCTCTGATGATGAGTCCTGGATGGAGGTGCAGACTGATGCTCCCCTTCTCTTGTTTGTCCTCTGACAATGAGTCCTGGATGGAGGTGCAGACTGATGCTCCCCTTCTCTTGTTTGTCCTCTGACGATGAGTCCTGGATGGAGGTGCAGACTGATGCTACCCTTCTCTTGTTTGTCCTCTGAGAATGAGTCCTGGATGGAGGTGCAGACTGATGCTACCCTTCTCTTGTTTGTCTTGTGACAATGAGTCCTGGATGGATGTGCAGACTGATGCTCCCCTTCTCTTGTTTGTCTTCTGACAATGAGTCCTGGATGGATGTGCAGACTGATTCTACCCTTCTCATGTTTGTCCTCTGATGAT